TCAAATAACATTTAAAAATAAAATCATACAAATGTATATTTGTTTTATTTTCCTTTATACTATTACAATACTTACAATAATACTGTTCAATGGCATATAACAGTTTATGAATACAAATATCAACTCTTAAAATTTACATGATATTTCCTTTACAACAAATATCAATTAATGAATAACAATGTATTCACTATGCACATGTTTATATATTTGATAACCAAAGGAATGTTAATAAAATAAAGTCTTAAAATCTTAAATCTTAATTTAACGCGTCGGTAAAGCGCAGATCGGATATTGCTGCACTCTTATCACATGTGAAAGACACAGTTAAGGCATAACGAATACCAGATTTCACTTTTTCGACTAGATGTAAATTTTCGCTCCCTGAAGTAAAAATCGATACTCTTCCTGAAAATTTGCTAAATATTACTATCTTTTTTTAAAATACATTTTAATTAATTTATAATTACACAAATGCTTTACCTTTTCTCGGTTCTATCGTAGTATTAACACCATTTTTATCCATAAATACAAATCGACCGCCTTCGAAATCTTTACTATAATCATTTAAATATAGCAACGATGTATAATGAAATGTTTCATATGTTTCCTGAAACATATAGTTTTGTTTTAATTTAATATTTTTTTAAATTCCACAAGAATATTTCTTGAAAAATATATAAGGTAGAAAAAATAAGTTTTCTAATTATCATTATATAACATTGCGAGACGAACCTTGTCAACATGTGGATGCCAATACTCGTCGTGTACAGTTTTCGCAGGCTTGTTAGTCATCCGTGAAAAGAAAGTAGGTTTGGTTAAGTAGATTTTATTTATATCTATACCAAAGTTATGCGCCACTGCATGTTGTATTTTTGTTTTTACTACTCTGTAAGTTAAAAGATATAACATAAAGTGTAATATTTATATGCAATATCATATAAATATTAAATGAATAATATATAAAGTGATTTAAAAAAAATTGTATGTATGTATGTATGTACTTGAGAAACCTAGAAAATAGAAGTAGATTTATCTAGTAAGTTTGAATAAATAATACATACTATATTATTTTCCTATACATATCAATAATTTTGAATATCATAAAGAGAATTTTAGATTTAAATATATTTAAATCTAAAATTCTTAGGTTTAAATATAAAAAATATCTCTATATAATTAAAAATCTTACTTATAAATTGTTGCATCCACACTGTTAAATATCTTCTTTGCTTCTGGTCGTTTGTAGATATTAATAAAATCTTGACCCTTGCTAAGAGCACCAGAATGTAAATCTAGAATACTCGCCCCACCATCTGATCCAGCCAAATCTAATCCGCTTTTTGCTAGTTTCAGTAAAACATCTGCCTCTGTTGTCGAGACGAGTTTGTCAGTTACAACTCTGCCACATTTTTCTGGTACACAGCCAGGATATTTTTCTAACTCGTCTCTATAATCCTTAGAACAGTCAACGTTCTGCGTACGACTTACCAATACATCTTTCTGCTTTGCTAAATATATTTCTTTGCCCTGTCTGTTATTGTACCAAATTATGAGCAGAACTCCGAGTATCAAAACACATCTGGACCATATTCTTTGATATGGGAATGACACAGCAGGTCCATATTTCCTATGAAATAGAAAAATAATTGATACTGATTTCTTAATAAAAGCGAAAGAAAGAAGCAGATTATTTACTTTTTTCATTTAAATATTTTGCGTTTAATAAGTTTTTTTTTCAATTACTTATTAGAGATGTTGAAAGCTGTGAAATAAGAAAGTCAGTGATATAAAAACACATGCATACATTTATAATACCGTAATATTTGTACTTACAATTCAGCGGGTTTGGTCAGTTTTTCCGTCTTGTTTTCCTCCCGAGTTGTTTCCTTATGCGCGTTCTTTTTTTTGTTCTCTTCACCTCTTGTGTCATCGTGTGTACACTGTTGTTTAACTTTTAATTTTATGTTTAACTCAACTTTGCACACATGTCAGATACAAATGTCAAATTGTTCTGTCGATCCCCGCTAAATCGTCACGAATATCTAGACAACGCTTTCAACCTAAAAAAAAAAAAATATTGTTGGACTGTCAGCTCGAGATATCACTAGTTATCGCGCAGTGCGCAGAGGTTATAAATTGTTGGGGGAAATTAGGGAATTACATGTAACGTAAGGCGAGTTTTTTAAGTCATCGATTGATTAATCACATAATGCGCAAATGCTGCTTTTATAGAGCAAAGTTGCATTTACGCATAATGCGATTTATCAGGCCTGTTCTACAATGCATCGTATGTCGGTGTCGTGATCGTGGATCGTAAGAATGGGCCAATCAAAATCAAGTACTCTCCCCACATTCATTTGCAATTGGTCAATTCTTGTGACTGCGGTTTGCGACACCGACATGCGACGTATTGTAAAACAAGCCTTAATCGATGAATTAAAAAAACTCGCTTGTAATACGATACTTGGAACCTTTTGGGGAATTTTAAAGAGCGCAATATATATATATATATATATATATATAGGGAATAATTTTTTGAACATGGCGTCGAGCATGGCGAGCCTGCTGTCCGCTCCTCGGACACATGTGACGCATGTCCGAATACTCCGAATGGACATTACCTCTGTACGTTCCGATCATTCTGATTCGTTCGTCACTCGCTTCCGAATGCAGATGACGTAATTCACATCATGCTGTTATGTTTTCCCTGTTAATGTCATTAATAAGCATGCTATCCTTTTTTCGAAAGTTATCAATTGGCGGAAAGATAAAGGATGGCATACTACCGGAGGCACCGATCATGGGAACGGCGGAAGATCTCTTGGCGAAAAATCAAATGTTACAATCGGATACCGAGTTAAAAGAATCCGTTTACGGCAAGTTTTGCGCTCTATTTGTGTGTTGTACCCTTCGGATATTATTCGATAACAGAGAGATGGTGCGACATTGCAAATGGCTTGTTTGTTTTTCACGCTTACTCGACGTTCGAGTGAATTGAAACTATTCAGCTGCGGAGATTCTATATGTATATTCACTCGATGATATTTCGTTGCTTTTTTCAGATTTATTAAGGACGATCAAGGATCCTGAGAAACCACAAACCTTGGAGCAGCTGGATGTTGTCTATGAAGATTGTATCAAGGTTTGCCACAGCACACCCGGAGGAGTTTCCGTAATCCGTGTAGAGTTTAATCCTACAGTGCCTCACTGCTCGTTGGCAACTCTCATAGGATTGTGTATCCGCATTAAATTAGAACGTCATTTATCAGCGTTATTTAAATTAGATATCTACATCAAGAAAGGTGCACATTCCACTGAACAAGAAAGTACATATATGCCCCTTATTTATTTTGCCAATACTAAGGATACGGAGTAGTCTATTTATAACTGTCTATATTAAATTATATTAAATTACAGTTAACAAACAGATTAATGACAAGGAACGCATAGCGGCTGCGATGGAAAATCCAAATCTCCGGGAAGTGGTAGAAAAATGCATACTAGAGGAGGATTATTAATATTTTTTGCGAAAATGCAATCATAATGTGGGATATTTTTTTCGAAATATAAATTTAAGCTAAGTACGTTGTACATTATATAAATAAATAGTATATTTTAATTATATTGCCATGTAATTAAACCTAATAACTTGTATTATATTCATAATGAAATGTTTCTAATGGACACACTACAATGTATAAAATTCTTTATACTTGATTGTTATAAGCTTGCATTTTTAATAAAGATGCGCGTGTCTATAAAAAGACATAATTTTTAAAGTACATCATATTCCTCAAAATCTTGTATATTTTGTGGAGACAAGTTTTATGCGTGTATGTACGATACATACAAGTTAAAATAGCAATATCAATTCAGGTAGAATGAAAAGATTAATTATTTTATTGTTGCAACATTTAAAAATATTTTCTTGGTTCTCATCTTAACATATAATAAACATCTCTTTCCCTTTTCCCATTGAGTTATGTAATTTGACAAATATGAATATATATAAAATATCAAGGAATATTTTAAAAGGAAAAAAATAACAAAATAATATTCTTTGTAAAAATTGGAAAAATATTTTCTTTTATGAGAACAGTGGTTTGAGGAAATAAAGATACAATTTTTCACGTTGCGTAAAGTAATCATTTTCCGTTTTTTTCGTCCGTCTACTTTCCGCAGATTTCTTTGAAATTTCATTCTGACGCTTCAAAACAATACAATGAGTCAGAGTTACTCGAAAGAGGGCATTGCGCGCTTTATACATATAAAAAACGCACGTGTAAGATTACGTTCGGAAAACATCATCCGAATATCCCCGTGTGTGTATCTTATTCTTGTTTAACATTCGACGAACAACAAGGATAAAACGATACACGGAGGAGTCACTCGGGGATGGTGTTTCCGAAGCCTCAACGTGCGCGAGATTGAAGATAGCGAAATAATTACGAATTGGGCAAACCGTTGCGCGTGACATTCGCGGAACGTCGCGTGATTTATGCAGCATTGCGCGCAATATACGATAGCGATCGCAGCTGCCGTGCGGGCAGCCCCAGTGTTTTCTACACATTTCTGCCGCTTCTGTGATGACTATACCGGATCACATTCGCGTCGCGTGGCGTCAGTCGTCGGTCGCCAGTCGCCAGTCGCCAGTCCAGCCGAGTCTCGAAAGCCCGAGTCTTGAGTCGTGAAACGGACAGCGCGCAGCGCATGTTCTTTCTTTCTCGTCGGTATCGTCGGTCGAGGTTTTCTGGAGGACGGTATTACCGGATGTCCCTGAAAATAAGTGATCTATCTAGGGAGTGATCCATTCGAGCCGCAGTCAGAAATTTTTCTGTGAGAGCCTACGAATTTATTATTATCATTATTATCAACAAAAATCGTTATAAATCTTCTATAATTCGAGCTTTACAAATTTAATTTCTATTTACATATGTCTAAGTCACACTTTTAAAATCACCTCTTCCCCCTTTATTTAAATAAATTTTAAAATTGTTTTAGCCGTCGAGTGCAACGTTATGCTAAATCACCGTATGATCAAAATGAGTTTTGGCTTGACTTCTTCGATACTCGTCATCCTTTTATTCAAGTTTTTTACGCACGGCTTACCAGTCCAAGAGGAACTTTACGGTACAAAACATATATTAAGTCAATATTAATAACAAGTTTGAAACATTATCTATCTCTCTACTTTTACTTACGCGGAAGTAAAATATCATTTTTAGCATTTTTACATAGAAATATATCCTATCGATACTAGTCAGGAATTTTTTTTATTTTTGTTTTTTATTATTAATTATTATCACGTCATTATCGTTAGAAATATTGTTTTATTAATGCGATTACCATTGTTACTATTTATGAGGAAAATGTAACGACAACCATGTTCCCTGGGTTAATAGGTCAATTTGATAGTCACGTTTTATACATAGTGGAAACTACTACATAATTCCATTAAATTGAAACGATTCGTACAAAATATAATTATTATTGATTTATTCCCCAAAGCTAAGACCAGATAAACGTCAACAAAATCAAGTTCGAGGTGAATCGTTATCACAACTGTACACACAATTATTTATTTTCTATGCAATTCATTCTCTATTACGATTATAAAAATAACATGATTCATTCGTTATATGATAACGTATATTTTTCAACTACAGTATTGATATGCACAATACAAATCGACTAATTGGATTAGCCTAGTGTTTATATTAATATTTATTATCATGACAATTTTTCTTTGCTTTATATATTAGAGTGTCCATTAATCTAATTTCAATAGCAGATAAATCATTTAAAATGCAGTTATCATTTAGATATATTTTTATAATTAGTCAAATTTAGACTAAATTCATAATTAATTGAAAAATATAATTTTAATATTTATTCGCACGCGCGCGTTCTTCAAAAATTCACCATTGGCAATTAACATCATTTTATCCAAGCTAAAAAAATATTTGCGTTGTGATATTTTTAAGTAAAATTGGACTCCAAATTACTGATAAAACAAGTTTAAGAATTTACGATGATAGAGTGCAATGCGATTTTACAAGTTTCTTCAGAAAAAATTCCATGATTCCAACTAACGCGATGTCGCGGACAACGTTCATAGTTGAACACGTGTAATGTGACTGTTTTTCGCGGTCGCCGAATATGATCGCTGATGCTTTTACCATTACTAGTACCATTACTAGCACAACGACGCAATATTTGCATATAATTAATTCAAGCAAAAAATCGACAAAATGTCCGTAATTTTCCAGCGCTACGTTATCGATTGATTTATCAATCTATTACGCAACTGCGATTGCGTATATATTCCCGCGAGAAAATTATTTTAACAATAAATATTAAATCATTTCGTAAAATTTACCTGGAGTGCAGTTTGAAAGGATAACAGTATATATATTACTAAAGGCAAAATTTCAACATGTTTTGTATTCCGAAAGAAAACGGCTCATTTCTATTACACTTTATTTTTAATATTTTCAACATATAAATTTTTTAACTTTTCCGAAATAAAACTCAAATTTAATTTTCACATTGTTCAAACTAAAGCTCAAACTAAAGTTATTCAAATTGAATAATAAAAAAAAGAGAATATGTCTCTACGCGATGAAAAAGAGAGGAAAAAAGTATAATATTTTCCCTCTTTTATCCTTTCAACATATTTTTTTAACGCAATTATTATATGTTGCTATTAATTGAAAATAGCGTATAATTGTATAAGAAAAGAGATACATTTTAGGTCGGACTTGTTAAAGCGAGTAAAAGTGCGGGTCGCGCATAGATTAGTTTCAACGACCCGAGCCGGGGTTTTCCTCATGTTCTTTCCCTATTCTTCGCAAATAGAGCGAGATATGAGAAAGATAAATAAAATCTCTCTTTCGTAATTCTCATTTTCTTTGATACAGAAGGCAGCACTTGTAAGCTGGAGAACGGCAAGACAGGCGTGTGTAAAAAAATATACGATTGCTCATCCAGACTGCAAGAGGTAAAGGAGGGAAGAAGAAGTTCGGATTCGACGGGACGTTGTGGCTTCCAAGATTTCACAGAAATCGTCTGTTGTTCGTTCAATATAACGGAGAAGATAGGACTTCGACCAGCGGAGATAGGTACGATAGGTTTTGGCCGACGATCTCTTTTGTATTTTCGAAATGGTAGACATTATTTCATAGTGATTCAGAAACTAAAGATTTACGACGGAATTTATTCTCTCGAGCGCGAGTATGTTAACAATTCACGTGTAATTAATTTTAAATTGTATTTTAATTGAATTAATTCAATTTCGTATTTTTCGTAAACAGTTGATGCGTCGTCAATTTTTATATATTTCTAATATCTTTTGCATAAATGAAAATCTAACAGTATTCATTAACAATTCACGTGTAATTAATTTTAAATTGTATTTTAATTGAATTAATTCAATTTCGTATTTTTCGTAAACAGTTGATGCGTCATCAATTTTTATACATTTCGAGTATCTTTTGCATAAATTAAAACCTAGCAGTATTCATTAACAATTCACGTGTAATTAATTTTAAATTATATTTTAATTGAATTAATTCAATTTTATATTTTTCGTAAACAATTGATGCGTCGTCAATTTTTATACATTTCGAGTATCTTTTGCATAAATGAAAACCTAAATATTTACATTACAAATACTTTCACTTTCATGATTTCGCTGTACATGTATGCATATTGGCTATTACTCGACTTTACAAATTGCTGTAAATCCATTACCATTCGATTGTGAAATTCTTTTCTCGATTCGAGATGATAAGGAGACGAGCGATGAGAAAGCTGATCGACGAATCCGATGATTACATTCCGCATCTTCGAGCTCGCTATCGATTAACATTCCATCTTTATTCAGAAACAGGTTTCTCAACTTGCCGCTAATTTTTGATAAACGAATAACTCTTGTTTTCTTCATTCGAGAGAAGCCGGAATGTAACAACGTACCATTTTGTCGCTACGTAGCGACAGCATGTTTATGTCGCTTCGAATGACTTTAAGGTGAAATATCATCTATATGATAGAACGCGAACCTCACCTACCACACCATTGTAAGAATATCCGCGACAAAGAGCTTTAATGTTTATCGTATATTTATCATCGTTTTAATATATGTCGTCAACACGTGCGCGCGCGCGCAAATTGCACGATCGTTTCCGAGAATCTCGTTTAAATAACGAACGACCTTGAGGTGAGAGACGCGCACGGTGATGTAATGATCGTCATGGTTTTACGATCACGGTTACGGTTACGGCTTCGACTCCATCCTAGATTTGGATAGGTCGGTTCCGGTTGATTGATCAGGATCGATCGAGCCTCTCTCCTTGCGAATGCGAGAGACGCGCGTGATTTTTCATCGCGCTTGATTTTTCAGCATGTCGCCAATACGAGAACGAGATCGGGACCGACAGTAAGGTGCGGGAGGTCGACGATGACGACGACGACGACACACGTAGTGTGCAGTACAATATATACGGCGGCACGCTAAGTGAGTCCGGAGAATTCCCGTACATGGTCGCCCTGGGGTACGAGAACGAAGACAAGGACGACGACGATTCGGATGCTATCAAGTACACGTGCGGTGGCACGTTAATTTCCTCGCGATACGTGCTGACCGCTGCTCACTGCGTCAATAACGTGCAGGAGAAAGTACCCATAGAGGCAAGTAACAGCGAGCTTCAAGTTCAAGTTCAAGTCACGCGACTCGTTTGGACCGATCGTTGAAATAATCACGTCGACACGTCGATATTCCTATCCGTCCTGCGTTGCATCTTTTATTATAAAACTAGAGAAACTAGCCTCCGGTAAAGATCCTTTCTGCTTTAGTCTGAGAGTAGAGTAGAGTGCAAACGCGCTGGCGTCGATTCCAAGCTGATATTAGTCATATATGTATCTCTCTCTCTCTTTCTTCTCTCTTCTCTCTCTCTCTCTCTCTCTCTCTCTCTCTCTCTCTCTCTCTCTCTCTGTTATTTATTTTCTTTTAATTGATCTTCTCATCACTAATCACAAGAAAGAAAAGCTTTTTTTATATATATCGAACAAATCTTATCTATCGGTCAAGGATCATGGATCTTGTTTGCTCCCAGGTGAGAGTCGGCAGCGAAGATCTGAGGAACGTTGGGGATGCGCAACGAATACGCATAAGTAACATAATAACGCATCCACAGTATAAGCGCAGCGTGAATTACAACGACGTGGCTATTCTGAAATTAAGTACGCCTGTACGCGTGGCGAGCAACGTACGGCCGATCTGTATTCAAACGAAATCTTTAGACACCATGAATATACAGTCGAACACAAAGTTTATCGTGATTGGCTGGGGTGCTACCGATCTTGGCGAAGAAGGCAGTACCAAATTGATGAAGACTCCGGGCCTCAGGTGGGAATACAAAGAATACGTATCACACAATAACAATTTTTTTAACAATAATTTTTAATGAAATATTTTCAAACACACTTTTATTGGATTATTTATTATCAAAATTATTATTTTTATTAAAAATTCAATTTCTTACATGACTTGAAACTACGAAGTATTGGAAGTATTCTCATGACTTTATCTCACGTACTCTACGAGTAATAATTGTTATATCTGGCAAAATGCGATAAAAGTAAAACTTATCTCTCATTGAAATTATTCATAAACGGAGAAAAGAAGTAAAATCCGATTTATAATAATGTAGCCAAAGTTGAATTCAAAGGTAGCCTTTGATGAAATGTGTCCTTATAAATGTAATATGTTTATCTTACAATGAGACGTTGTTGTATCTTGTCTTGTTGTACATAATTTAATTATATACGAATTTTCAGACTCATAGATAGGGAATCGTGCGCCAAATCATTCACTGGTTTTGGTAAATTACCCCGCGGGTTGGAAAATATGCTGTGTGCATTGGATACCAATGTGACGAGAAGGGCGGACACTTGTCACGGGGATAGCGGCGGACCTTTATTAATGCTCGTCGGGTCTAGTCACAGTATTATAGGAGTCACGGCTTTCGGACAAAGTTGCGGGGGATCTACACCGGGAGTTTACACAGCGATATATTCCTATCTGGAGTGGATCGAAGAAGAAGTATGGCCGGAAATGATTGACGAATGATAGATAACGAATTATCTCTCGCTTTCGCAAAAAACTTGTTGTCGACGACTTGACGATCGATCGGTGTGATGACATGATTTTAAATGTTAAATGTTTAAAAACGATTTGTTGTTACAATAATCTAGTCTAATATATTGCACATTTTATACGAATGTGTGTACGCGGCATTTATACTTCTCAATTCCTATCTTAAAATACGCTTTTGCGAATTTTTTACTTTTATACAATAATTCTCCTCTTTCAAATATACTGTTCTGTATGGATATGTGCTTCAATAAAACGTGGACATTCTGCGTGTTTTCCTTTTTATTTTGAAAAAACCTTTTTGTAAAAACAAATTGGCAACGTTCAAAGTTCATTCAGTTGAATAGCGTTGAAGACTGAGGACGACGCGTTTCGTTTAATAATAGCTGAAAAAATGGCTGATAAAAAGGAAGAAGAAAAGGAGGATGACGAACGTATTGAATTTCTTTATAAATATTTGGTACTTTCAAGAAAAATTAAACTCGATAAATGGGTAAAGATGTTATCAAATGAGGAATACAAGGTGCAATATTTTCCTCTAAATTTTAACCTTTAATCGTGCATGTTTTTGTGATATTTCTTGCCACGATTTGAGATATCTCTTTTGGAGTAATGCAATTTTGTAAAACAGAACATTATACACAAAATTTGTTATTGAGACTTTATTATTTAATTTATATTAAAGTTGTAACGTTTTGTATAACTTTTTGTAAAATCTTTTAATGGTAAAAAATTATACAATTAACAAGTAATTTCACTTTCTTCTCCCATTTGTAATATTGCATATTATTCATATAAAATGGATTTTAGTATTAAATTACAATTTTTGTTTGACTTGCATCGTGCTTATTTTAAATCACATCTTTTTTTCTTATCAGAGTTATCTTTGTTATTAACTTCAATTCATTAAGAAATAGCGAGAAAAGAAACGCGAGATATCTCTATGAAAGATCTCTAAAACTCATTGATAAATCTTGTATCATTGTGTGAGAAAAAATTCAAAATCAATTTTTATTAGGCAAGTAAATCATTCGACATATATTTTATATCTTATTTATAATGTGAAAATGTCAGGAGACAATTATGAAATTTTTCGACACCTCGTCGGAAATGATTCTGATAATACACCTAAGTCTAGCCGGTGTATTGATTCCGTCTCTCGAGATATCACCAACAGCTTGGGTGAAGGCATCGTACTTTGTAAAAAAAAATCCTGTCAAGATCACGAAAGAAAATTACAGGGATGTCATTATACCCGGCGATATGGCTTCGAAACCAATCGAGGAGTTATCCGTTTTGGTCGAGGAGGTAGATCGCAATGGAATTAGATATCATTCACGTCCATGAAAAGGGACTGACCCTTACGCCTAACATTCTGCCTAGGCTTACGTACCGATATTATCGAATCCGAAGAACCACAAGGGTTGGCCGCGCGTTATCGGCGAGGACATGAAAAAGCACGTTTACGATCTTCGCAACATGATATGCCAGGTATACAAGTCCCTTAAGACGTAATATCTATGCGCCTAACAGGTATTATTGCTATCCGTTACTAGTTACCGTTCTCTAGTTTTCTCACTTTCTCAATAAATTTTTGTAAAATTATTTAAAAAATATTTTTTAAAAACTTTAGCCGAGTGTTTTCGAAATGGAAGAAAAGTGTGTCCATCAGTTGCTCCAAATCATCATAAAGTTACCTTACCTTTTTCAGGTCAAAGGTAAGATGATGGGACAGACCTTATTACCGATGCCAATGGATATCGAGCAGATATTCGAGGTGGAATGGAAGGCTCAGCAGAGCAATGGTCTCGACGTCGACGTTTCTTTAAAAAGCAATATAGAAACTATCGTGACGAAATGGTGCTCACAAATCGGTGATACGCTAAACGAAGAAAGCCCAAGAAATGATAAGCACTTGTTACCGAGCGCAGGTATTGCGAGCGATATTTAAAGCGCAAAATTAAAAGCAAATCTTTCTCATGTTCCATCGAAAGATCTTTTCCTCCGCATATGTTATATATTTATTAACAATAATGTATAATTTGTAATAATAGATATAATTTATTCTTATACACATGATACATTTTTTATTTTTCCGAGCCGTTTGATTTTCATAATTAAATTTTATCAAATATTGAAAATATTGAAGAAACTTTTATCGACAACATATTTGCAGAAATCGATTTCTGGCGTCAACGACTTGTAAATATCGAATCTATTTATAGTCAAATGAAGGATCCACGAGTGAAAAAGATGGCATCTATTTTAGAATTAACCAAAAGTCCTTATTCACCGCGTTTTAAGGCTCTATTGAAGGATGTCATTGCTGGTTAGATCTTGCATTAATCAAACGATACACTACAACGAATTAATTATTAAATTAGACATTTCGTTTTATAATTTTAATATATTACTACGCCAATTGTTAATGAATTATTTTAAACAAAAGATAAATGCTGATAAATGATTTTCAAAATCATCTATGTTACAATTATATAACGTATAAAAAATTTTTCATTCATACCTAGCGGTAATCGAAGCGCGCGATGTATGCGCTTATTTGAAAGCATTGGAACCTTATTTTGAAGATATACAAAATATCGAATTCAAAGACATACAGCCGAAATTGAAACCACTACTGCACTGCGTATGCCTACTATGGTCAAATTCGAAATATTATTGCACCCCAACACGAATAATCACACTGTTATCCGAAATATCTAATCTCCTAATTACTGAGGTAACAAGTAATATTAAGGTACTCGAGCAATTAAAGTTTTCCCACACGATAATAGAAACTGTGTAAAAAGGACCTATTATATTATTATTATTATTATTCTCGCAGGCCACCAAATATTTAGATCAGAGTACTATATTCACTGTTGATATTGAGGATAGTCTGAAACGTTTACGACATGTGACGAATATTTTGACTTATTATATAGAAATGTTTGAAACATTTCGAAGTAAATTGGATAATTATTTTAAACATTCAGAGCCAATCCCTTGGAATTTTGACGACGAATTGGTGCTTGGAAGAATAATACATTTTCAGAAACGTCTAGGAGAGATCAAGGTCCGTAATCTGGTATTCAAAAGCGATAAAATAATATATTGAACTAAGTATATAAATTTTTTTATAATCGGACTCTTTTTATAAATTTTTTCATATGAATAAATTATCTCATGCGCAAATAAATTCAAGATTTTTACTAATTTACGAGAAAATACATATTTATACGTATAAAAAATAAAAATTTTTGTTCTATATGGTGTAAGAAAAACATGGTTTGTTATCATTCTTGATACGAAATAATTTACGTATAAAGAGAGATAATTAATTATTTCATATTATTTGTCAGACATTATTTGATACAGCTCAAGAATATTTCAAACTAGAAAAGATAGAATTTGCGAATTTAAGAAAGAAAACGTTGTGTTCAAAGATTTATAATATTCATGAAAGATTTATTAAAATCTATAATGAATTTGCTGAATTGGAATACGATATTCTAATGCCAGAAGAGATACAATTCACCGAACATGTTGTTTCGTTTTTAGCAAAGGTAATTGCGTAATTATAGAATGCTGCGAAATTATTTATGTATTATTTTGTATATTATTTTTTTATACGACATAAGATTAAAACTACAATGTACAAAAAAAAATTTATCGGGTCATTTACCATAGGTGGAAGAGTTTGACAGAGAGCTGGCGAATATATTTGATCAAGCATTTTCCGAATGTCATAATACTGAAACTATGTTTAAACTGATATGGATCCTAGGGTCAATGGCCAATCGGCCAATCATTATGGCACAATTGTGGCACAATTATGAGAAATTGCTTCAAAGAATCCATAGTCATTTTGACGATATTAAAGTATGACACAATATTATATATTTAATAGACGTAATATAGCTGTAATGATAGTTGATGAGCCTTAAGCAGATTCCACTTACTTTTTCCAGGTCATATTCGACAGCACTTTCAAAGATTACAAGGAGGATGAATGGATTGAAACCGATCAGTATTTCCCACATGTCGCTGGCGCGTTATGTACGTTAACACAATTGCGAAAACGGATAGACTATCCGATGGAATGTGAGAAATTGGTCGATCATCCTTTGATAAATCTCAAGATAGCACGTGAAACAAAACCAAAGTACGAGCAAATGCAGGTAAACCTTCATAAAACCCCTAGACACGGTTAGGGACACATTAAATTTTATCATCGCTTTGTTTAGCCATACTTTAATATTTTTATTTATACCTATGTAAACATTTATTCAATATAATATATCTAATTATACTTATGTTAATTTTAAATAAAAATAAATATTAAATAACAATTGTATCAATTGTTATTTTCTTGTGACAATTTATATGTTTATTTACTTATCAGCATGATATTATTCGTTCAAAAAGTTTATCAGAGAATGAATATTGAGACAATTATAATGTTTAATATACTCGTCCGATCTTTGAATTTATTAATAAAAGCATATTGTATTTTCATAAGTCCCTCATAGATGCAATGGAACACAAAATATTTACGGACTGGGCTAATAAAGTAGTCAATATAAGCAATGTTCATCTGTCGAAAAGTTTATTAACAATAGATGAAAACAATTTACTCGGTTTAAACTTCGATCCGGAATTGACCGCTCTCCTGCGAGAAACTCGTTTTATGATCATTATGAAGAGAACGGATTTGCCAGCAGAAGCGATTCAATTATATTACAGAACGCAATATTTTTTTGACAGTACTTACAATCTCAGTTTACTCGTACAATGGTGAGTATAAATAGTCATTAGCAATTAGCAATTAGCCGATATACAAATATTCTTTTTTTAATTCCTACGTGTTTGCTCAAACAAGGTACAATTGGATAAAGAATTTCAGTTTACCTGTGGAGTACGAAATAGTGAAGCATGAAATCGAAAAAGTGGACAAACTAATTGATATTGGTCAAAAAATATATAATTGGAATTCGCCAGGTATAATTATGCTAAAGCGTATGCTGTTAGATGAAAACATTTAGATATTATATCAATGCTAATAATAAACTGAGAATAATAAAGATTTAAAGTCTTAATTTGAAATTGTTTACACAACATTCAGATAGATATTATTAGATAATTGTTTATTTTATTTCACAGCGATAATTAATGATATATAGTTAAATAAAATCAACTTCTTTTTCCTTCTGCTACATCAATTGATAATTTGTTTCACAGAAGTACCGGAGTACATTAGTAATTTG